TATAGTACATATACACAATGGAGTACTCTTCAGTCACAAAAAGATAAGATCTTGTCATTTGAAATAGTATGAATCAAGTGAAGGTTATTATGTTAAGTGAAATAAGCCAGGCACAGAAAGACAAACTTCGCAAAGTCTCACTAATTTGTGGCAGCTGAAAAAGCAACTGAATTCATGGAGATAGACAGCACAATGATGATTACCAGAGAACAATGGTAGTGGGAGGGCATGGGAAAGTGGGGATGGTCGATGGCTATGAACATTTAGTCAGAAAAAATGAACAAGATCTAGTACTCAATAGCACAGCAGGGCATCTGTAGTCAATAACAATTTAATTGTACAGTTTCAAATAACTAAACATGTGTAATTAGATTGCTTGTAACACAAAGGCTAAATGCTTGAGGTGACGGATATACCTCATTTACTCTGAAGTAATCTTCTTTTTTTCTTCTTCTTCTTTTTTTAAGACATAGTCTCGCTCTGTCACCCAGGCTGGAGTGCTGTGGCGCAATCTCAGCTCACAGCAACTTCTGCCTCCTGGATTGAAGCAATTCTCCTGCCTCAACCTCCTGAGTAGCTGGAATTACAGGCGTGTGCCACCGTGCCTGGCTAATTTTTGTATTTTTAGTAGAAACGGGGTTTCACCATGTTGGTCAGGCTGGTCTCAAACTCCTGATCTCGTGATCCACTTGCCTCAACCTCCCAAAGTTCTGGGATCACAGGCATGAGCCACTGCACTCGGCCACTCTGAAATAATTCTTACACATTGTTTACCTGGATCAAAATAGCTCATAAACCCTATAAACATGTATACCTACTATATGTATGCCTGTACCCACAAAAAAATTAATAATAAACTTTTTAAAAGCACAAATTAAAAAACAAAACAAAAGAACACATGTATACAAAAGAACGAACTCATAGGGGATCTATGATTCTAATTCATCAAACTGATTCTGATTTCATTTCTTTTTTTTTTATTATCCATATTTTCTCTGAAGATACTGTGCTGACGGGCCAGTGTGAAGAGCCCATGCTTCTAACTGGTATTTCTCATTACAAATAAATGTTATGTAACAATTACAAAACCAGAGTGGCATACTGAAGGGAAAAAAAAAAAAAAAATCCTTTCTTTCCTTTTCCCCCTTGCAAGTCTCTGGAATTTTGCTGATTAAGGCTAAGCAAGACTAGTGTGAATTTTAAGCTGTCATTTGGTCTGGGTTTTCTCTAAATTTTATTTGTGCTCTTTAAAGTAGCTACTATGTGAAGTATTTCTTCTCAATGTGGAAGTGAAGAACCCAGGGTGCCTATACCAAAAAGTGCATTTTAAGTTTTTGCTCTACTTAATAAAGATGGTAGGGGAGCAGTTACTCTTTGATGAGAAGATTTGAGTAAATGTAAAACGTTAGATGGCATCAGAAGCAGATATATTTATAAAATATTAGTGTATTTTTAAAAATAGATATCAAATCTGAGAACAGAAATGGATTTTCTCACTCAATTTTAGTGTTCAAAAGGTATATTTTCTTGATAAGACTAATCTAATATATAATTCCAATATAATAAGATGTATTGCACTTGAAAATAACATTCACACAACTCAGAGTAAAATATTGGTTAAGACAAGGGAATGCATTACTTCATTACTATTTAAACACTGTGATTTTAACCACAGTAAGCATGTCACCTTGCTCATGCCCAGTCATTTCCTAATAGTTAACAACTTTTGCAGGAAAAGTTTCTAGAGTTGCTGTGACAACACTATATTCTTTTAAATAAAGACTGTGTATATTCTTCTTGTGAATAGTCTTGGTTTAAAAGAGTGTAGTGTCACAGCAATCCCCTCTCCACTGATTATTCCCTTGGGGTGGGCTGTCTGTATGCACAGTGGCCTGCTAAAACTTGGCAGGGAGCGTGTGCAGTGTCTTTACTGGAGTTCTAAGCATGATGACTTGAAGTGTTCTTCCCATACTAGTTTTCATTCCTAGAGGAAGGTAATATACCAGTTAAACTCTGCCACTTTGCCTCTGAATGTGCATGCTTGAGCTCACTCACCCAACTCCTAAGGTCAGAAAGCTGCTAATCACCAGTTTCAGGTGCTTTCTATCTATTGAGAGACAACTACTTTCCCTTGTTCTGGCTGTGACCAATTATTATTGCCTGACCATCAACTGCTGGTCACCTGACATTCCTGTTGCGTGTGTGTGTTGGGGGGAACCCACTTCTGCCATGTCATGCCCGACTAGCTACATACTGTTACAGTAGCTCTGCTCTTCATAGTTCTGTTTTCATGTCTTTTGCATTTAGGTACTCTAGAGCTAATGAATCTCTTCCAATGAGTCTGTTTTAATTGGATACTTGAGTCTGAATCTTGAAGAAAACCTATAGCTATGTTAATCTTATTTGACAATGTAGTTATTTCTCTAAAACTGTACATAGTACTATTAATTTCTTTATTGTAAATTATTCTTATGTGTTTATATAAAACATAATATTTAAGATGAAACATTTTAAAATTCAAGTTTCAGCACTTTTTCTTACAGACATTTGGCAGAACATTTCACTAACAGTGAAATGATTGTATAGTATGTAATATATAATTCATTTGATGCAGATGCTGAATATCCGCTGGATCCAATGTGGATATGCAGTAAAGATATTTTTGTTTTTATCTTTACTCAAATGAGTCTAGTTTGAGACAAATTATGTTTACTGTTAGTAACTGATATGGTTTGGCTGTGTCCCCCACCCAAATCTTTTGTTGAATTGTAATTCCTATGTGTTAAAAGAGGAGCATGGTGGGAGGTGATTGGATTATGGGAACAGATTTCTCCATGCTGTTTCCATGATAGTGAGTGAGCGTTCACGATATCTGATGGTTTAAAAGTATGTGGCACCTCCCCCCTCATACTCCCTCTCTCTCTCTCCTACTGCCATGGGAAAGCATGCCTTGCTTCCCCCTCACCTTCCATTTATGATTGTAAGTTTCCTAAGACCCTGAAGTCATGCTTCCTGTTAAGCCTGCAGAACTCTGAGTCAATTAAACCCCTTTTATTCAGAAATTATCCAGTCTCAAGGAGCTCTTTATAGCAGTGTGTAAATAGACTAATGCAGAAAATTAACACCTGGAGAGAGGGTCACTGCTATGAAGACACCTGAAAATGTGGAAGTGACCTTGGAACTGGGTAACAGACAGAGGTTGGAACAGTTTGGAGGAATCAGTAGAAAACAGGAATATGTTAGAAAAGTTTGGCACTTCCTAGAGACTTGTTGAATTTTTTTTTTTTTTTTTTTTTTTTTTTTTTTTTTCCTGTTTGGTTTTGTTTTGAGATGGAGTTTCACTCTTGTCACCCAGGCTGGAGTGCAATGGCATGATCTTGGCTCAATGCAACCTCCACTTCCTGGGTTCAAGTTGTTCTCCTACCTCAGCCTCCCAGTTAGCTGGGATTACAGGTGCCCACCACCACACCCAACTAATTTTTTGTATTTTTAGTAGAGGTGGGATTTCACCATGTTGGCCAGGCTGATCTTGAACTTCTGACTTCATGTGATCCACCTGCCTTGGCATCACAAAGTGTTGGGATTACAGTCATGAGCCACTGTGCCCGGCCATTGAATGGTTTTGACCAAAATGCTGATAGTGATATGAACAATAAACTCTAGGGCTGAGATAGTCTCAGATGGAGATGAGGAACTTATTAAGAACTGGAGTAAAGGTCTCTCTTGAGGTGCTTTAGCAAAGAGACTGGTGGCATTGTTCCCTTTTCCTAGATGCCTGTGGTACTTTGACCTTGAGGTGGATGATTTAGGGTATCTGGCAGAAGAAATTTGTAAGCATCAGAGCATTCACGATGAGACCTGGCTATTTTGAAAAGCGTACATTTATATGCATGAACAAAGAGATTACACGTAACTGGCAATTATAATTAAAAGGGAAGCAGAACACAAAAGTTTGAAAAATTTGCAAGCAGACCATGTGGTAGGAAAAAACAAAACAAAACACATTTTCTAGGAAGTAATTTAGCTGGATGTAGAAATTTGCATAAGTACAGGGAAGTCAAATGTTTATAGCCAAGACAATGGGGAAAAATGTCTTCATGTCATGTCAGAGACCTCCTTTACAGAAGCCCCTCCCATCAAAGGCTTAGAGGCCTAGGTGGAAAAAATGGTTTCATGGGCCAAGCCCAGGGTCCTGCTGCTCTATGCAGCCACAAAACATTGTGCCCTCTATCTCAGCCATTTCAGCTCCAGCTGTGGCTAAAAGGAGTCAAGGTACATACAGCTCAGGCTATTGCTTCAGATGAGGGAAGTTCCAAACCTTGGCCGCTTCCACGTGAAGTTGGACATGCAGGTGCACAGAAGGCAAGGACTGAGGTTTGCAAACCTCTGTTCAGATTTTAGGGGATGTATGGAAACACCTGTATGTCCAAGCAGAAGTCTGCTGCAGGGGTGGAGCCCTCATGGAGAACCACTACTAGGGTAGTGCAGAGTGAAATTGTGGGGTTGGAGTCCCCACACAGAGTCCCCACTAGGGCACTGCCTAGTGGAGCTATGAGAAGAGGGCCACCATCCTCCAGATCCTAGAATGGTAGATCCACTGACAGCTTGCACTGGGTACCTGGAAAAGCTGAAGGCACTCAGCACTAGCTCATGAAAGCAGCCACAGGGGCTGTGCCCAGCAAAGTAACAGGGGCAGAGCTGCTGATGGCCATGGTAGCCCATCCCTTGAATCAGCAAGCCCTAAATGTGAAACACAGAGTCAAAGGAGATTATTCTGGAACTTTAAGATTTAATGCCGTTCCCTCCTGAGTTTTAGACTTGCATGAGGCCTGTAACTCCTTTGTTTTGGCTGATTTCTCCCTTTTGGAATGGGAACATTTGCCCACTTCCTGTACCTCAATTGTATCTTGGAAGTAATTAACTTGTTTTTTATTTTACAGGCTCATCAGTGGAAGGAACTTGCCTTGTCTCAGATGAGGCTTTGGATTTAGACTTTTGAGTTAATACTGAAATGAGTTAAGACTGTGGAATTGTTGAGAAGGTATGATTGTGTTTTGAAATTTGATAAGGACATGTGATTTGGGAGGTGACAAGGGCAGAATAATATGGTTTGGCTCTGTGTCTCCACCCCAAGCTCTTATTGAACTTTAATCCCCATGTGTTGAAGGAGGGGCCAGGTGGGAGGTAATTAGATTATGGGGACAGGTTTCCCCATGCTCTTCTGGTGATATTAAGTGAGTTCTCATGAAATCTGATGGTATAAAAGTGTGTGACACTACCCTCCTTACTTTCTGTCTCTCCCTTAGCCATGAGAAGACATGCCTTGCTTCTCTTTTGTCCTCTGTCATGATTGTAGTTGTACTGAGACCCCCAAGTCATACTTCTTGTTAAGCCTGCAGAAGTGTGAGTCAATTAAACCTATTTTCTTCATAAATTACCCAGTCTCAGTTCTTTATAGCAGTGTGAAAATGAACTAATGCAATAACTTTCCTCATAATTTTTCTAACATCTTTTAAATATTGGTAAGTGACTTATACACCAATAATGTTTCTGGTTTAGAAAAGTTATTTATTTTATAAAATATTTTGTTCCATATATCTAGAAAAAACATTTTAAGAGTTAATTCTTTGGATCAAGTTTCCTGAGAAACTTCCACTGTCAAGATCTTCCAAATAAGAAAATTGGCTGAAAGCTTGAAGCTAAAATATCAAACTTTTCCTCATGATTTCCTAATTACAATGTAATCCCTGGGCATAAACAAGGTGACTTCACTACTGTGGTTAAAATCATAGCCTTTAAATACTAGTTACAGGAATACATACCCTTTCCTAGATCAATCTTTGAGTTTTCTGAATAGTATCTAAGTTCAATAGGTGGTGGTAAATGCACCAAATGAATGTGTTCTAATTATTTTAAATTATGTATACTAATATTATAAAAGTTTCATTTTCTGGAGCTCTGCAAGAACTCAATGCTACATTTTGTATGTACTGCAGGAAGCATAATGCTGTAAAAAATAAACTGCATGGACCTTGTGTAAAAAAAAACTTAGAGATAGGTATAAACTCTAATACTGTTACTACAAGTATGAAGCAATTTGCTTATTCTATATGAACTTCTCTCTTTACATTGAAAATTGTGATAATAACATAACCTCTTTTTTTTTTTTTTTTTTTTTTTTTGAGCTGGAATCTTGCCCTATTGTCAGGCTAGAGTGCAGTGGCGTGATCTTGTCTCACTGCAACCTCTGCCTCCCGGGTTCAAGCTATTCTCCTGCCTCAGCCTCCTGAGTAGCTGGGACTACAGGTGTGTGCCACCACACCTAGCTATTTTTTGTATTTTTAGTAGAGATGGGGTTTCACCATGTTGGCCGGGATGCTCTTGATCTCCTGACCTCGTGATTTGCCCACCTCCACCTTCCAAAGTGCTGGGATTACAGGCATGAACCACTGTACCCAACCAATAACATAATCTCTCTCATGCTTTTGAGAGAATCCTGCTGGATATCATGTGGAAAAGTCCTCATGTGGTAATTGGCACAAAGTAGTTGTTAAAATAAATGGACCATTATATTTTATCTTTGATTTGAGAATAAAAATTGAAGATTATAGAAAATGATCAGACAGTCTGGCCAACATAGTGAAACCCTATCTCTACTAAAAATACAAAAAAGTAGCCAAGTGCAGTGGTGTGCACCTGTCATCCTAGTTACTCGGGAAGCTGAGGCAGGAGAATCGTGTAAACCAGGGAGGCGGAGGTTGCAGTGAGCGAGATTGTGGCATTGCATTCTAGGCCAGGCAACAGTGTGAGACTTCATCTCAAAAAAAAAAAAAAAAAAAAAAAGAAAAGAAAAAAGAGAATGATCAGAATATATCATGGCGCATAAAGTTTCAGGATAAACCTTCCTCTTTATTCTGCTTAGAAATTCACGTCTATTTTTCTGTATGCTAAAACATGTCATCTCTTCTGCTCTTGCATTATAATCTGATCAGAACAATCATTATCAACCGGAGAGACTCATTTTCACCAACCCTAATTCCCAAGACACACAGGGCAAGTCAACTTAATTATAAAGGAATAGGCTTTCCAAGACAATTTTAAATAATTGTTGTAATTATACCCCCAAGAACTTCCTTGTTCTTTATACTCAGACTATTGATACAATATATATATATATATATTTTTTTAACTCTGAAACTTTTCTGGAAACAGGAGTGAAACAAACAAACCAACCAAAACAACAACAACAACAACACTGCTATTCTTTCTTCTCCTGCAGGGTTGGTTTATGTGCTAGCACTTTCCACTAGAGACAAAAAAAAAAAAAAAAAAAAAAAAAAAAAAAAAAATCACTCTCAAACAGACCAGAGCAAACTTCCCTTACCCAGAATGTGAGGGATTGTTGCTAACTTATTTTTCAGTAGAAGAATCATTATAATCCTACTATGTTTCACACTTTGGGGCAAATGTGTACATAAATTTTCCTTTACCAATTCAGTTTTGAGCAGAACTCCTGACACACCTCAAATATTTTCTCTGACTCTTGATACATAAATCTGCCAAAATAATACTTTGTCTACTAAAAATGCTTGGAAAAGTTTCTTCAAAATCTCGTTACATTTTTGAAGCCTCAGACTACTGTAATTGCCAAAGGCAAATAAATGAAAATTGACTTGTTATTTAGCATTAAACATTAAACAGCCTTACTCAAACAGTGTTGTCATTGGCAAAGATTTCAAACTACTTCAATATCCCCTTTTTAATTTCATCCTCAATATCCAATACCCATATATATCCACATGCAATTATATTTCCTCCTGCATAAAACACACAATTTCACCACCAGCTGGCTATAACCCACCTCAAGAGTGGGAATAATTTGGAACTATAAAAATTGTTATTATAAATTAGTTCTTTCCTATTCTAGAATATTATCTAACCAGCCAAAGGTAGAAGTGTGATATTCTCAGATTGCATAGTATTTTGTTTTTCAAAATATCTAAGATCCTCATAACAATATATTGGAAAGTGAAGAAGTTAATCTTTCTGTAAAGTGATTAAAATCACAAAGGGTACTCTACTCATCTTCAAGTACTCAAAAGCCATCACCATATTTGGCCGTTGTAACAACTCATTAACGTTTTTTTTTTAGTTATTTAACAGGAAATGAACAGATCTCTTACATTTCAGCTTGCCTCTCTTGTGTCCATATAATGTTTGCTTAATGGATTATACATTTTATTGCATTATATTTAATATCCAGTTGACTCTTTAATCTTTAATATCCTTTGTTATTATGAAAGCCTCTGTATCTTAATACTTTCAACTATGGAGCCTGAATTTGCCTGTGCCTTGTCATAATAGTGTTATTCCTTATTTTTCTTTAATTTCCTTTGTTTAATATGCTTTTATATCTGCTTGTACTCTCAAATTTTTCTTGATAATTTAAAAATGCATCATATTTATAACACATAGTTGTAAAATTGTACTAAATAATGGCTAAGTGCCTGAGATTCAAACCAGAATTCAAGGCAGACTGCCTTTGCTATTTACTAAGAAGTGTCATTGGATAACACTTAAACTAGTTATTTTTTAGTTTCTTCATAGGAAAAATGAGAAGGATAATAGTCCCTCTCTTATTGGTAGCTGTGAAGATTAAGTGGGATATTAAGTATTAATCACTTAGATGCTTTTTTAACATGTCTACATTTATATAAGTGATTTTGTATCACCTGAATTTATTAATTGCATTTCCATTCCATGTATAATTATTAAGTATTTATTTTATGTTATGGCATTTTCTAGACATTGAGGAAACTGAAAAATTATTAAATATGTTGCCTTAAATGCATTAAAAGCTAATTTTCCTGTCAATAATACAATATTAGGATGAATATGTACAATGAAAATATTAATCAAGAAACTAATAAGATGACTTCAGATCATGATAAATGCTATGAACATTTAATGCCATACTATGGTCATGAAACAAAGTTCAAGGAAGATGTCATTGAGGAGGTAAATTTTGAGCCGAGATCTAAAAACTGAAAGGATTCAAACACTAAGTGTATCAGAGAAGCTAATTACAGGCACTGCAACTTGCAGATTATATCCAAACAGTAAGATACAGCAAACTTTGGGCTCATATTTGTTTCTCATGTATCAGGAATCATTATGTTGCGTATTATCCAATATGGAAAGCATGTTTATACTTTTTATGTTGTTTAAGGTGAAAGGTATATTTAGTTCCTTTAGGTTTTGAATCCTCATTTAAATGAAAGTTTTTTTTTTTTTTTTTTTTTTTTTTTTGAGCTTATTTCCAAATTACGGAAGCATTGAAAATAGTACAAAAATTCACATATATCTTTTACCAAGAACTACTAATTAGGTAACTATATCCTTTACCCAGAATCAGCTATTATTAAAATTTATAATTTGTGTGTCTTTTTTTTCCTTTACACACTCAGTCTTCTGAATCAACAAATAATAATTTACGGCCGGGCGTGGTGGCTCACGCCTGTAATTCCAGCACTTTGGGAGGCTGAGTGAAGCGGATCACGAGGTCAGGAATTTGAGACCAGTCTGGCCAACGTAGTGAAACCCCATCTCTACTAAAAATACAAAAAATTAGATGGATGTGTGCCTGTTCTCCCAGCTACTCAGGAGGTTGAGGCAGGAGAATTGCATGAACCCAGGAGGCAGAGGTTACAGTGAATCGAGATCGCACCATAGAACTCCAGCCAGGGCACAATGTGAGACTCCATCTCAAAAAAAAAAAAAAAAGAAAAAAGAAAAGAAGAATGTACATACTTCATGACCCTTTACTACTAACTACTTCACAACTATATTTCTAAGCAAAAAGACAATCTTATTCACAACACCTCCAAAATTTTCAACTTCAGGAAATGTAATATTGATACAATATTATAATCTAGTGTACAAACCATATTCTAGTTTCATGTAGTGCCCAAAAATGTATTGTATAGTAATAGTTCCTCTGATCCAGAATTCAATCCAGGATAATTCATCACATTTAATTATCTTGTCACTTGTTTTCTTTTATCTGGAAAATTTTGTATCTTTCTTTTTCTTTTATGGTTAACATTTCCTTGGACAGGTGATACGTTTTGTAGTATGACCCTTCATCTAGATTTGCTTACTGTTTTGACATGATTAAATTGAAGTCATTTATATGGGACAGAAATATTATATAAGTGACATTTTATCTTTCTCAATGAATTATGTTTGGAAACACAATGTCTCTTTATCCCACTATTTCTTATGTTAATTTTGGTCACTTGGCTGAGGTGATATTTACCAAAATTCTCCACTGAAAAGTTATACTTTTCCCCTCTGTAATTAACTATAATGTTTTATTAGGAAGCTAATTTGAAATTCTGCAAACAGGCTGTTCATTCTTTCACCTAATATTTT